GCTCGTATTTTCCCAAATTATGAAACGTTTCCAGAACTGGGTGCAATTTTCGATCCTCTTCCCGAAATTGTTTTGGAATGTACGCCGGTGATAGGTGGTCCACCCATTCTGTGAGGATAACAAGTTTGTCTTGTCTCCATTCTGCTAACGGTATATCTCGCTGATATTACGCCACTGCCAGTCACTGCCCCGAACAACGCTTAACACCGAAGGCGGGACATTGTAAATCCCTAAAATCCGCGATAAATAGTAGGAGAACACCTCCCCCTGCAGCTGGTCCATGTTTTGTCGGTAACGACAACAAGTCAGCGTTCCGTTGGCGAAACTCAGAAGTCTGTTCTGCATACGACCGCATCCTTCCTGCATTTTAACCACGGCGGATCGCCTCGCGAAATTCATCCAGTTTTTAACATGTTTTTGGGAGAACCCTTTCGGAGTGAAGTTATCCAAATAGGCATTCCAAAAAATACCATTTGAGATGATATTCGATCCGTTCCAAGCATGTGATTGTTGAACGGACATGTTTTGTAAACCTTGTTGCGTTGTATTATGTATGGCAGTCGTTAGTTCTTTTGATCGATGTATTGCGTTGTAGTGTTGCCTATCACTGGCACGGTGGCGATTTGGATCGCTTTTCGCTCGATGTCTACCTCGCGTCGCCGTCGAACTATCTCGTGTAAACTCCTGTGTCAATTTGTTCACTTGTAACTTTTCTTGTTTGTCGACTAGTTCGCGTTCAAGTGTTTTATCTATGATGTTAGCTTTGGGTCCATTGTCTACTCTCTCGCTAAAAGCCTGCTCCGATGACTCGAATATGGCCGACGGCTTGCGTATTGCGCGGCGATCCCGAACATTAAGGCTTAAAAACGGGCTCTCGTCGGCGCGTCGCCTCTCCACGTCTACTTGTACATTCCACCCATCGTGGTTGGCTGTGTTGGGGAGCTGGACGTACATGCCAAGCAGCGTTCCCACGGAGAAAGCGATGCCTATTGAAAGCAAGGCGCTTAGCCGAGGCATTTGGCCGATATGTCTATCAGTGCGAATACACGCACCGTTCTATGCTATCAAGTATATCGGTAGATCACCTTCTAGCCAGTAAGAGAGATCTTCGCCGTTTTCTCTCCATTAAGTATGCGTAGTTTTAACTCAGTTTTCATTATCCATCAGGGACGCTTATTCCATGACACAGATGCACAGCAAACAAAACACACCCGCGGTAAATCCGACTTCCCGTCTATGCCTGCATCTACGTCCGATCGATATATAATGAACTGTGGTATAAGTTCTCACAGTAAAATCAACACGATCCGGTCTTCGCGTAGTTCCTTTCAGTGGCCTTGTCCAAGTGACTGATTCTTTTTATCATTGATCACGGCAAATAAGCAGGTAGGTGGTTTGGCACGGAGTCTCAGTCTGACCTACCATCGACACAGTTAGCAGGTCAGAGATAAGCAGAACTGACAGTTTGCGAAATATTATACGGTGAATCATGTTCATTAGCATTTGTGAAGCGCGTTAGGGAGTCTTTTTACTTCGCCTGCTATGAAACTCCCACCCTACGGGAAACTGCATTCTGGCACTTTATTGGTTCGAGTGCGGGTTCTATTGTTCCACCCTTTGTGATGACAGTACAGGTTCATAACGATTGCACAGAATGAACCTTTTGAATTTAAGAAAACATTGTGTATGGGACAGGCTGTGGGGATTTACTTGGTGAAATGCGTGATTAAACAGATCGACAGAAAAATGCACAATTTGATGCGGATTCTCACAAAAAGTTGATATATTTTCATATAGTTATTTTCAGCGCTAAATAAATCAGCGCTAATTTTGATGTTAATGTGATGTTTGTGGTTCACAGTTACGTTGAACACGAAATCAAAGTCGGGTAATTAGCAAGTACGTGATAATTTAATTACCCCAATTCGAATGATAACATATAAGGCCTCCCCTACGTTATCAATGGATTGGTCCATTGTATAGGTAAAGCACGTATGACTCGTACACCTACTAGCTCAGGAAGGGTTCACTGCTAGGCAATATAAGAGGGTGTCGCGGCCCCTCACAAATTAACAGCTCACCTTTTCAGGCACGAGAATTGATGACACGTGAGGTGAAAAGTCAAATCAGGTATTTTGCGACGTGAGAAAACCAGTGTCCGCAAAGTGTCATAAGTTGAATAGTAAATAATTCAGTCTCGGTGAATTGATTTATGACGATGATTGACCAGAACGCTGCATCTTTCAGTCTCCGACAAGCAGCTGTAGCCATTGAAGCTCACTGCCCCGACTGCGCCAGCGACCTACACGACATATATTTTGCGTTTTGTAAAAGATTTTCACCCGGAATTTATAATGTTGATTTTAAGTAAAGCAATACAGTACATGCAGAAAGCCTAGCAAGACTCGTGCCTTAAGGGGTATGGCGGATAATCCTTTTTTTGCCCATAAGTTGAAACAGCGACAAAATGCCAGGATAGTTCACAAGCCGGTGATGTTAACAATTAGGTAGTTGCTGTTCGTGTTACCCTAGTACGGAGCTTACGAGGAGTGCTTGATACAAGGACATTCCTTTAGACTGCGGGACGTGCAATATGGAAATAATTGTAAACAGCGGGGGGCATCCATACCGTGTCCCACATGAGGCGATTCAATTAAGCCTCTAGGATAAACACATGTACGACAGCCATAATAATATAAGTTCAAAGAAGCGAGGAAAAAAAGATTTTTCTGTTTGAGATATCATAACATAAACACGGCCGTAGAGAAAGAATCGGCGATTGTGACAAATGTTGAAAAGTCTCAAAACAAACTCATACTATGAGATTATGATTGTTTCGGAGTTAATAACTTTTTTATCAAAATTAAATATTTATATTGACATGTGTACAATAATCAGAAAGAATTTATTTGATATTTACTCGATTGAAGTTAATTACTATTTTAGGTTACACTTAGCGTCCCGTGCCTCGGATCTCGAACTTTTTACGTGACTACTAAATGTGAAGGTCAGGTGACACCTGGTTGTATCATTACGGTGTCCTGTCGAAATTCGATCGAACATTGCCGACACTGGCTTCATGGAAATGTTTGCCGACGTTTACGACAGTCCCGGACGGCAGAATGAATAATCCACTTCCGAGTTCACTGAAGTTGGACCTTGGCTGTCACGCGTGTGAGGTTCAGTAGCCCAAACCGGGCATCTTATGTCTTGCAATATACCATGGGTAACATATATCGTTCTATTGCTAGTAGTCAGCCAGTCAGTAATAACAATATAAGTTTCACTCACTTCAAACTATAAAAGACTCTATAGCGAACGCGACCCATTTCTGTGTGGTTAGCCTTGGGCTACTATCGCTACAAGTCACACACCTCGAAGTACAGCGCTAATTGAAGAAATGTTTTGGCTAGCTAGTGAGAATAAATAAATTACAGTTAAATACTGCTAGGTATGCTGTGAGGTCAAGTTCATTATCGCTGCCAGATTTACAATGTGGTCCCTCGCAACATAAACCAGTATCGATGGCCCTGTCTTTAGCCACCGAAAACTAATGTCTAAGTATCAGTACGGGGCACTTAAAAAGTATCAACCGTACACACGTGGCTGGCAGATGCGCTACGATGCACAGTTTCCCTTTTTTTTTACTGAAGTGATCGCAGATACACTTAGTTTCAATTTGATTGAAAAGGTTTGAATTGATTTTGACCTGAACTGAGTGTCCGTGACGGAAACGGAATCAAACACGCGTATTGTAATAAAATCGAAGCAGACCATGCTCAGAATGCGCCCAGTTCTCGATTCTTAGTAAACCCTCAAACTCGGGTAGAGATGACAATGTCACATATTCTTTTTGTTTCATGATATGATCTTACTTCTTTCGTGAAATTATGTATTTTTTGTTTATCTGAATTTATTGTGCGTTTGCGTTTTATTTCTCGAATAATGCTAAAAATGTCGATACTACCGGCTACTATGGAAATTCGTGAATTATGACGTGACGAAAGTTTTGAAATGTCACTTCGTTGTCCCGGTGTGTTTTGACAATGAATGGTCCCACTGGAGTAATAGAATTTTACGACTAGTATCAACGTATAATAGTTGTCATAGTAACTGTCTAACACTGAAACGCACATATATGTGGAATGTATGTGAAGTGTCGGTTTTATTGGCTTCAAGATAATAGAGAGCCCCTCGACAGAATGCAATGTTTTATAGTAATGATATCTGTCAGTGTGTCGCACTGTGTATAAATAAATAAATAAATAAATACATAAATAAATAAATAAATAAAAAAATAAATAAATAAATGAATGAATGAATGAATGAATGAATGAATGAATAAATGAATGAATGAATGAATGAATGAATGAATGAATGAATAAATGAATGAATGAATGACCACCGCCCGTAAACAATCCCTGTGATTTTGGCCAATCTTTTCAATAATATATATCCAGGTCTACGTCATTTTCATAACATTATTGCAACGATTGGACATGTGCGTATTCAAAACCGTTGAAATGTGATATCTGAATGACTTACAATTCTTCGTAGATTTGTGAGTTGTTTTTTAATGAAATTAAAATTTAAAACGGCACTTCCCAAGAGAGTAAAATGCTATGTTAATGTTTCCAATATTGACGTGGATGGTCATAATTACTAGTAAGTCGGGAAGTAGAAGTGACTTATTTGCAAGTATATCGCATCGCATTCCACGTGGGGCGTCCACTGCAAGTATAATCTTTATCTGATACCGTGTAAATGTAGTTATCAACCCAGCTGAGGTTCATTCCATGATATTACCCCCACAACATTCTGAATTATGGGATTATTTGCATCAATGCGTGAAGTAATATTTTCAAAATAACTGTTTTCAAGTGGCGGCATTCTTCATTTCATACTGTGCAAGAGATCACTTTTGAATTGATAGACTGACGGATATAAGGAATAGCTGGGTCATCTTCCTGGTGTTGTCATTTTGCGGTGCTGTGGAGTTTGCTTCATTCTTGGGACTTAGAGTCATGCGGTGACATTGTTTAATTTTCATGATATAAAATAGAGAAGTCATTGTTTTTAACTTTTTACCTTTCTGATATGTGCTCACTCATTTTTGCACCGGCTATTCACGATTTTTAATTGCATATGTGCGTGCTCTGTTACCAATACATCGGTAGTAACTTGTCAGTATCGTTTACGTCCATTTTAACTTTTTGAACGATTAATTTCCGTATATTTGACAGCATAACGGGGCTTGCTACACATGGCATTACTTAGTGAGTATCTGTACGTGAACATACATGGCAGCGGGTAATAAGACCGCTGTCGTTTTATTATTTGGTGTCTTGCCGGCCTGAACGGATTTCGGGTTTCTGATTAAAGGCCTTAGCCGACAATAACAGAGTTTATTCTAGATTACGAGCTTGCGATTTCCTCGCAAATACAATTTGAGGCATCTCAATATTATCAATCTATTTTTATTTGTATTTACCAAATTTCAACAAATATAGTAAATAATTAATATATTTTAGAAAACAGTGCTATAGCAGTCTCAGATACACACGTTAAAACGGATGGATGTGAGAAAACCATAGCTCACATATTTAAAAATTTGTTGTACCAATTAGAGTGCGTCTTACTAGAAATCGGCATGTGACATAGGTTCTGATTGATTGCAGCGAGAACTGAACATGGTTAATTGGTTAAACACGAATGTAGCCTATGCTTTGAATTGCAGTCAGAATGAATCAGATGTAGCTTGTTTGGTTCTAAATTGTTAGCAAATCGTTTCTATTTCACAATGAATGTGCCTGTAATGATAATTTCATTCCAAACCACTGAGTAATAGTAACAGTGAGGCCTTTCTGAACCGAACACATTGGCTGGTTTACATTGGTTTTCAATTTAGATAGTGGATTTAGCTCAGTTTACAGAGGTGTTGGATTTAATATATGTATATAACCAAGTATGTCATAGGGAAGGGACTGTTAAACTGTTCAGTTTACACAGGTTTCCAG